ATGAGAAAATATATCCCAGGGTTATAAAAAGAATCTTCTATTGTGATTTTTCTTATGATGCTATTTTGCTAAATGCCTTTGCTTTGAACTAATTGTGTCCTCTGGTTGACTAGAAGAAAAGTAAACACATCAGTGGGGGCTAATGAGTTATGGTTATAAGTGAATGTGAACCCACATTGCAGCTTGAGTCTGGAGTAGCTATTCTTGGTGTCCCACATTGAGACAGATTGCCTCGGGTGCTATAGACAGATAATACAAGGGCTTTTAATAATAAGGTAATAAATTGCTGTCCCCCACCCCCGGTCACTAGCATGTAGCAAGCTCCCTAGATATCATCTTCCCTGCCTGCAGGAACTCCATGACCCACTCGGCTTGTAGTTCTCTCAGAGGACAGAACTGACCTTTTCCTGCCACATCCTTGATAAAGCTAGCCTGAAGTCAAGGATGTTACAATGTGAGGCTAATTATTGCCTTTTAATATTCTCTACTATAGTGGCCCTCCAGGGAAGAATAAAATAAAATGATGCATTCTAATAGATGGAGCGAATACTGGCCTGGGAACCACGTGCTCCTGCTCTATCCCTGTCTAGTTCCATGACCGTGGGCAAGGTGGTTGACCCAGACTTGTAATCTTATTTACAACGAATGTATTAACTTGCTTCAATATTTCAAATGAGCTGTAATTTTAATGCTTCAAATATGGGTAGCCCTCCATCGATGCAGTAAATGATTTAGTGAATGCCTGTGGCTAAAACGATTCATCACTTGGTGGCCAACCATCGGGGGATGAGCTCCTTGAGAAGGCTATCTAGAATTGATGCCTCTACTTCCTCTTCTCTCCTTCTTTTCTTAATTCTCTGTTGTCTGGCTTCCAGGCTCACCACTCAACTGAAACTATTTGCTCCAAAGTTACTATATCTCCTAATTTCCAAATCTGATGTCCTTTTCTCAGTCCTTCTGGCTTCTCTACAGCCTTTGACATTTTTATTACCCTCTTCTCCTTGATACTCTCTTCCCTAGGTTTTCATGACACTGTTTTTTTTTTCTCCTCCTACATGTCTAATTTCTCCTTTTTAAGCCTCCTTTGCTACATCTTCAACCAGGTCATACCCGCTAACTGTGGGTGTCCCACAAGGCCCTGTTCTCTGCCCTCTTCTCTCCCCTTTCTATACTGTTTTGTTTGGTGAGTTCATCAGCTGTCATGGATTCTATTATTATCTCTCTGCTAATAATTCTCACATCTTCTTATCCAGTCCTAATCTCTCATCCTGACCTCTGATCTTGCATCTTCAGTTGTCTATTAGACATTTCAAACTGGATGTCCTGTAGATATCTGAAACTCAACTTGTCCCAAACTGAACTCATTATCTTTCCCTCCAAGCCTTTCCTCCTTTCTCATTTTCTTATTTCTGTTTGGGGCACCGCCATCTTCTCAGTCACTTTGGCTTACAATCCAGATGTCGTCCTTCAGCTCCTCACTCTGTCTCCCATCCTTCCTCCAATTCAATCTGTTGCCAAGTTCTGCCAATTCTACCTCCATTATATCTTTCATATACGATTCCTGCTCTCCTCAGACACTGCTACCACCCTGGAGCAGGCCCTCATTTCCTACTATGAGACCTACTACAATATCTGCTGTCTTGTCTCTCTGCCTTGTCTCTCTCTACTCCAGTGCATCCTCCACTCAACTAAAGTGCAGACCTGACCATGTCACCTCCCTCTCTTATTCAGTCAACCCCACTGGCCCCCTAACACCTCCAGGATAAAATATAAAATCCTCTATTTGGCATTCAAAACCCAGTCCCTTCCTACCTTTCCTTTCTTTTTATACAGTATTCCCCTCATGTACTCTGTGATCCAGTAGCATGGGCTTCCTTGCTCTTCCTCTCACATGACACCCCATCTCTCATCTTTGGGCAGTTTTGCTGACTGTCTACCGTGCCTGGAATTCTCTCCCTCCTCATCTCTATCATCTCCTGCCCTCCCTGGCTTCCTTCAAGTCCCAGCCAAAATTCCACTTCCTACAAGAAGCCTTTCCCACTCCCCCTTAGTGCTAGGGCCTTCCCTCTGTTGGTCATCTTCAGTTTATCCTGTGGATAGCATGTTTGTACATAGTGATATTTATGTTTCTCCACCATTAGACCTTGAGCTTCTTGAGGAGCGAGGAGTAGGTTGTTCCTTTCTCTGTATCCAGAGTGCTTAGGACAGTGCTTGGCACTCAATAAATGTTTGTTGATGGACTGTTCCCCAGACCACTGGAAAGATTTGGAGTCAGATAACCTTAATTCATATACTGAGTGACCTGTGACAAATCTCTGTAAAATGAGAGAATCGAACTAAAGTCCCTTTCAACTCGAAATCTAAAATTCATTGATCACAGATATAACCTATAACTGGACTTGTAGTAGAAGTCTTTTGAGCTTAGCAAGACCCTCTGGATTTCAGGAGTTCTTCACCTTTTTGGCATCATGGACTCCATTGCTAATCTGGTGAAACCTGTGGACTCCTTCTCAAAGTAATGTATTTAAATTCATAAAATAAAAACACATAGGATTAAAAAGGAAAACAATTATATTGAAACAAAGATGTAGGGTTTTTTTTCCCAATCCAAGTTCATGGACCCACTGACATCTGTCCACAACCCCACATTAAGAACCCCTGCTCTAGAGTTTAGCATCTCCTAGCACAGCTTTTGCAAAACCAGAACCACCTCCACACCACAATGAAACACTGGAATGTGTCTTTTTATGTGTTTGTGACAAGCAAAAAACTCCTGCATTTTTCTTACCTATTGCCATCCCCAAAGGGATAATCTGGATGTCAGTGAGCACCTTGTCAAAAAGATCTTTCCTATTAAAAAAAACCCCAAAAAACCTAACCATCACTGCTAGAGACAGGATACCAGGCTGGCTGAGCCATAGATTGACCCAGCATGACAATTCTCATGTTTATCTAGGAGTATAGTCCCAAAGCTACTGGACGTTTATTCACTTGTTATCATCATTTTAATTTGTCACCACCTTGTTTCCTTTTAATGGAGCTTAATTTTATTTTAAAATTATTCTACTTCTACATGAGTTTGGTTTCCCATCTAAAATGTAAAGGATGAAAAAGCCTGTCTTTGATACCTTCCTGGTATAAGGATGAATAAATGTGCCAATATTTCTGAATCATTTGAAAGCTTGGGGGGAGGTTGTGATGGGAGTGGGGGGCAGACAGACAATATTAATTCCAGACCTTGCCGATATCACTATGTTCCTAATTCATATTTCAATCTACATTCTAAAGCGTGATTTTGTATCTATACCACATGCCCTTTACCTACCTCTGACTGATAAAATCCCTCCCTGCCACACCCTCCATGTCACCTTTGCAGGTTATATAAGTATAACTAGCCCAGGGCTACTGGGGTTGTACCATCTGGAAGATACAAAAATTTAACACCTGTACTCGTTCAGCGGAGTAGAAATTGTTCAGGGCAAGGTGAGTTTAGATACTATCCAAGGAGTGGGGATGATGACCGTGGAGGGAGCAGACTGTTCCTTTTCTCTGTTCCTCTATTCCATAAAAAAAAATCCTCAACTCTCCACACACCACCTGATTCCCTCCCTAGGTTTGCCTTCCCATCATCATTCCAGGCAGACCAATCTCTGTCTCACCCTCTCTCTGCAAGTATTAACACTTTCCTGCAGACAGGATGCATATTCATCTTTGTGTTAGCTTTCTTCCTGTACGATGGGCGGGAGGAAATGTTGGCCAGGCACAGTCTGGAGCAGCCGGCCTCCAAGGTCCCTCACAACGCTGAGATTCTGCCCTGAAGCCACTCTAGTAACAAATTCTCTTCCCCATTCAACTAATTTGCCTTTATTAATTCTTATGTTATTTTCAAAGCCTGAAACATAAAGTTGATTTAAGGGCACATTTCATTTTGTTTGCCCCAAGCAACCTGCCCTAGGTGCTGAAATTGCTAATTATTAGCTCTTCCTGATCTTTCCAACTGGAATTGATCTCTCCTTACTCGAATTTCACAGAGCGCTTTGTCTGAACCACTGCTTTACACATCTCATATTCTACCTCGTGTCACACTTATACATGGGCAGATCTGATTTGCCCTCTTATAGGATCATTGTTTTAGAACTGGAAGTCCAACTCCCTCATTTAATGAGAAACTTGGCCAAGGTCACCTGGGTAGCATCTGACCCATGATTCACCTCCAGGTACTCTGATTACAAATCCAGCCATCTACTGAACCATATTGCCACCCATTCACCCTCCCTCAGTGAGATTAGCTCCTATGGATTCAATTATTTTCATGTAAATAACTCTAAAATAATCATGTCCACCAACCCTATCCTCTCTTCTGAGCTCCAGACTCACACAGATTATCAACTCCCTGAAGGCACGGACTGCTTTATTTTATCATTATATACCCAATGTTGAATATGACAATCATAGATTCTTAATAAATATTTCTCCATAAATTAAAAATAAGTTAATTTTTAAAAAGAGAGGTAAATAAATATTTGTCAAACAGTTCAATAAGTAAAAGTTTTGCCTTTGGGAGAAATATGTCTGCAGTTATATATACGACTCCCCGATTTATCTATCCAGCCAGCCCTTGTCTTCTACTTGAACTCTCATCCTGAATCATCAATTATCTGGAACTAGGATCCCTTCACTAAGAAACTCTAGGCTGGGAGGAACTTGGGAAAACCCTTGTTCTCTCCCTCAAAGCAAGACACTGGAGAAGGGCAAGTGAGGTTTGGAGCCAGCCTAGTGGGACAAGAGTCACACAGGGACATAATCTTTAAAAGCAATAAGAAATTGAGATGCCTATTTTATCCCCCCCTTCTTCCTCTTCCTCTTTCTCCCTCTCTCCCTCTGCTTCTCCCTCTCTCATCTTTCTCCCTCCCCCTTTCCCTATTCTTCTTCCTCTTCTCTCCCTCTCTCTATCCTTCTACCTCTCTCTCCTGCTTCTTCCTATCCTTCTCCCACATTACCTGTTCCACCTCTTCAGTCAAGGCTGTTGAAGCCATCTGGACAGAGGGAAGCTGCTTTTAAGAAACTTGGCTTTGTTAGGACTCCAAATACAATTCCAACACAGATGTTCCTGGCAATGAAATGCCTGGTTGTTCTCACAGCAAAATAGGGAAATACAAAAGGAGAATGATATTTTTAAAGGAAATCATCTGTAATGTGCTCCCTTCAACCAATGTGATTTGTACTCTGCACCTGGCTGGCCCCAGTGTCCAGCCAGTATAGAAAGTAGCACAAGATATTTCAGATTAACAAGGTGCCCATAGTGCCAGAGTTTGCACAACCTAGGCCATAAACCAGGGCCTGTCTTTCCTCCCTCTTCTTGCACTTTTTTTTTTTTTTAGGTTTGGTAAGGGGCCAACCACCAAAGAATCAAGAATATAGATAGAGTTGTAACTGAGTCATGGCAGCCAAGACTTGCCCAAAGCACCTGAATGTAAAAGATGACAAATTTAGAGAACTCACACAAAAAGTCAAGCCCCTCCCAACCTCTGCATGAACGGGGGAAGCAACCACAAGTCTGAGGAGTATAACAGTGGAAAGGGTAGAACCAATAATGCGCCTAGAACCTTCAGACACGAGACTAACACTGTCACACGCTGCAGCCCTCCCTTCACCAGGGTTTGGGGTGGTTGGATCAGACATCTGCTCTTCCCTTGGTTCTTCTGAGGCTCTTCCTACCCTGCCTGAGGCTGAAAGGGGGACATAGTGAGGATGGGAACCTCCTGAACTGCAAATATGCTGGATACTTGACCAGCCAGGGCATGGAGAAAGAAGTATGGGGTTAATCCACTACCAACTGGTGGATGACTTTCTTTTGCTTCATTTTTATCCATCAAAGCACCTTGCACAGAAATGTGGGCGCGATAGAGTTTCAGTAAATGCTTCATGAGTAAATGAATAAACTGATGAGCAAATTAGTATCTCTGGAACCACTTCATAATTTGACTTGGGGCCAGCCCCAGGGTCTGCTGTAGTCTGCTAGAAAGAGCCTCTCCCAGAAATCTGGGGCTTAAATCTAGCTCTACAACCAATTCACCCTGAGGCAGTTCCTTTAATTTTTGTCTGCTTCATTGTCCCCATTTGTGAAATGAGGATAGTAATTCCTTCTCCTCATCCCTAGGGAATGATGAGGAAATGAGTTGAGGGAGGGCTTCAGCTTAGAAGAGAGATTATAAACATAAAAGAATAATAAGATGGCATGGCCAGTAGCACTTCATGATAATATCATTCACATAAGCAAAACACTTTGAAATTCTTTTGTTCTTAAATATCACCCAGCCTTCAACATTTTCATCAGCCCTGTCTGCCCATCAGAATGTCATTTGGGGAGCCAATTGGTGGGAGTGGGCACTGGTAATAAGAGGACCAGGGCCACCCCAAGCTTGCCTCCTGCATCCCCAGTATCTTCACTAAGTATGGTCTAAGGCATTTTACGTATATGTGTGTATATGTATATGTGCAGATATATACACGTATGCACACCTGTGTTTATCTACACCCGTGCATGTGTGTGTGTGTGTGTGTGTGCGTGTGTGTGTGTATGCAGTAGATTCTCATTATTTGCGAATTCACTAAAATTTCTTTGTAACTCCACAGTCGATACTTTGCCATTTTCAGTCATTCACAGAGCTGCATCCACTGCACATTTCCAGCTGAGGTCAAACAAGGAGAACTCTGCCTTCGTGTTTCAGCTCTTATACTGTAAACAAGTGTGCTTTTTGCAGCCTATTGAGTACCCACGTTTTTTGTATTTTTGTGCTTTTTTGTTGGTGATTTCACTGTTTAAAATGGCCCCCAAGTGTAGTGTAGAAGTACTGTCTAGTGTTCCTATGGGCAAGAAGGCTGTGATATGCCTTATGGAGAAAATATGTGTGTTAGATAAGCTTCATTCAGGCATGGGTTATAGTGCTATTGGCCATGAGTTCAGTGTTAATGAATCAACAATATGATACATCCAGAAAAGGGAAGAGGAAATTCACCAATGTATATGTAAAGCTACTCCAGAAAGTGCTAAAGTAAATAAATGTTGTGACCATAGGCTTAAAGGAATCTAACCCTGCATTTCCTCTAGTAACAATGATTCAGTATTCATTAATTCTGGGTTCTCAACCACATGTATGTGTGTGTTTGCATTTATGTATACATGCATGTATGTATATGTATATCACACAAGTGTACACATATCTATCCTGGGCACAAACATTTTTTGAATTTTTATTTGAAATTTTAGCTGCCTATTTTCTTTTTTAATGTCACAACCATAGCTAGGTTTTGTCACTTCTCATCCTATCTTAAGTCAACATCAACTGACCTGTAACATCAAGAATCTGTGGTTTCACAAGGCTGGGGATGTCTTCCTTCAGTGCAGGTGGCCTAAGCTTGAACAGCAGCAGCAACCTAACCATCTATGATCTGTCTTCGTCTTCGCTCAGGCCATCATTGCCTCCTCCCCAGCAGAAAATTGGGCGCCACCCCTAGAACTGCCCTGGGCTTTGATTGGCCAGCTGTGGCCTCATCGTACTGCCAGTCAGGTCCGCACAGCACTTGCTGGACATCTCCGCACTGTGTTGTCTCCCCTCCTCTGCACTAGGGCCATGATTTTCACCTCTTTCCCCGTAGAAAATGCTACTACAACCTTGGGTGTTGATAGGCCAACTTTGGCCTTATAGTGTCCACATTCAAGCTTCTACTATATGCTTCTAGCATACAGTCTCCACTCAGATTATATGAGCTCTGCTTGCTTCTCATCTGAAAATTGGAAATCTCCCTACCCTCTTTCAGCTCTCCTTCATGTTTTATCTTCCCCTATTAGAATATAAGCTCCTTGAGGGCAGGGACTGTCTTGTTTGCTTATATTTATATCCCCAGCAGTGAGTACAGTACCAGGCATACAATTAGAGCCTAATAAATGCTCTATCTATATTTCTTTCTTTCTTTCTTTCCTTTAGTAGATAAGTCTTAGAGTTACCTAAAGCGGTAAGTTTAAGAGACTGTCCATGATCTTATAGCTGTATCAGAGCTGGGATTTGAACATGCATCTTCCTGACTTCAAGTCCAACACTCCTTACTATACAACACTCATTCTTTGGCATATTGTAATAGCATCCTCAGTGGTAGCCCTGGTTCCAGTATTTCCCCTTCTCTGAGCCATCCTCCACTTAGCTACCAAAATCATCTCCATAAGGCAGGGATCCCTCACTACACTGATCAAACCCCTTTAGTGGATCCTATGGCCAGTAGGATAAAATATAAATGCCTCTAATTGGCAGTTGAGGCCCTCCAAAATCATCATCATCACTACCTTTCCAGTCATCTCACATTAATATCCTTCAGGTAGGTATTCTTATGTTCCAGCCAAACTATACTACTAGCTATTCCTTAAAGTCAACATTACTCTCCTTAAAAATATGTCCCTTTTTCCCACTCATGCTGATACCACTCCTGTATAGACCCCTTATTCTTCACCTGTTAGCTAGAGTACTACAATAGCCTCTTTTGGTCACATCTCTCTCCACTCTAATCCATCCACCACAGCTGCTTAAGTGATTTTCCTAAAGCACAGGTCTGATCATGTGACACATCAACCTCTTCCCCCCACTCCCATTCAACAGACTCTCTGGCTCTCTTTGCTTTCTCAGAAGAAGAACGGAAGGGAGGAAAAAGCATTTATTAAATTATTAGTATGTGCCAAGTACTGAGCTAAGTGCTAAGAATACAGAATTTTTTAAGTGAGATAACCCTTGCTCTCAAGAAACTTATATCAGAATTGGGAAAGACAATGCATAAAAAGAAAGTTCTGCAGCAAAGTGTATTGGAAAGGTTCAAAGGGGGTCCTTGGATTATGCCAGTAGGTTAACTGACAGTTCCAGGAATCTGCAGGGCTAGAGGCAGGGCAGATTGTAAGTCCTAGAGGACTTTAGGAGGCAGTGGCAAAGCAGATGGTGAGGTCAAGTGGTTCTTCATCTCACCAAAAGGAATAAAATAGATGACCCACGTGTTATGCAAGCCATGTGAGTTCTGGACAGCCCAGTCAGGGAGAGGCAAAGGTGAAAATTAGAAGCCAGGTATACATGTTGGTGATAGCCCTTCCCACTGCCTGGCCATCCCAGATAGTTTCTAGGATAAATTGAGGCTATGAGAGAGGCAAGTAAGGTAGACAGAAGCCCTTCATAATCAAGATCCTTCCTACCTTTATGATCTTCCTACACTTTGGTCCTCCCCCCTTCTTACTATGCAATCATACCATGCTGGCCTGCTCACTTTTCTATGCACATAACATTACTTCTCCTATCTCTGTGCTTTGTACTGGCTTTTTCCCATGACAGAATGCCCTCTCTCCTCACCTCCCTCTTGAAATTCCTGGTTTCCTTCAATGAATGCCTCTAATTGGCTCAAACCCCACCTTCTTCATGAAGACTTTCTGGTCTCTCCAGCTTCCAGTGAAACTGCTTCCAAAACTACCTTGTATTCATTTTGTATTTATTATGCATATGCTATTATATGTATTACATATATATCATGTATATAATAATCTTATATATGTATAGGTTGTCTCCCCAATTAGTACATGCACTCCTTGAGTGTGAGGACTGTTTCACTTTTGTCTTTTATATAGTTGTTGCTTTAAAAATATTGATTAAAATTAATTCAATTCTTCCATCCTCAAATTTGTTGTAGCACTTTGAACTTCTCTGCATTTCTCACATTCTGCCTAATATTCTAAATATTTGTATAAATATATAATCCTTTTGTAAACTCCCTGAAGGCAAAGATTATGTCTTATTTCATCTTTGTGTCTTCAGCACCTAGCACAGTGTGTCCTTGTACATGGTTGGATCTTAATATTCATTGAATTAAAAATTGAAAATACTATGATAGATGATGGATTAGAGGCAGCTACACAGCTGAAGTCTCCCAACATTCCCCTCCCAAGTTTAAAATAACTGCTCAAATCAAATTTTGGAGTGGCAGAGCCAACATAAGGTCAGAGTGAGACATTTTTCCAGCCTAA